AATTTGAATTTTTCAAGATTCATCGTTTGATAAGTGTACTATAATAAACATAATATTATGTATGTATAAATTTCTGTAAAGATTTTTATAATAATTAACATATTTATACTGAAATATTTTGAACTATACTTTGGTACTAATGGTAAGGAAAATGTGTGTTACTCTTTCTAAAAAAAAAAACAGAAACCAGAAAAAGATAAATAGTGTATCGTAGCGTATCTTGTTTTTTGGTATACCTGGGGTATTTAAATAAAACACTTTAACGGTTTAAAACGCGATATGTTAGTTAAATTTATTTAAAAATTGACGTTTTCACCCCGTAAACACGGCTACTGCAAAGCATCCGAAACGTCGGGCCGAAGTTAACATTTTCAAATAAGTTTAAGTAATATATAGCGTTTTAAACCGTTAAAGTGTTTTATTTAAATGTGTACTACTCGGGTAACTATAGACAGTGTTTAATTAACCAATACCTGGGGTATTTCAGCAATTTTAAAGTAAACTTCATAGGTAAGTCGCTTTTATAAAAAAAACAAGTAACTTAGTTTTTTTTTTTTTTTTTTTTTTTTTTTTTTTTTTTTTTTTTAACCCCCCTCCCCCCCCCTTTTTTTTTCTCCCCCCCCCCCCCCCCCCCCCCCCCCCCTTTCTTTTATTTTTTTTTTTTTCCCCCCCCCCCCCCCCCCCCCCCCCCCCCCCCCGGGGGGGGGGGGGGGGGGGGTTTCCCCCCCGGCGGGGGTTTCCCCCCCTTTTTTTTTTTTTTTGGGGGGGGGGGGGGGGGTTTTTTTTTTTTTTTTTTTTTTTGGGGGGTGGTTTTGGGGGGGGGGGGGGGGGGTTTTTTTTTTTCCCCCCCAAAAAAAAAATATTTTTTTTTTTTAAAAATACTCCCCCCCCCCCCCCCCCCCCCCCCCCCCCCCCCCCCCCCCCTTTCCCCCCCCCCCCCCCCTCCGGCCCACTTTTTTGGGGGGGGGGGGGGCGGGGGGGAAAATTTTTGTTTAAAAAACATTTTTAAATGTTCGGACAACACTATATAAAATATTTACCTACCTACTTAAATTTACAATGTATCAAAATGTGAGGAATCTCCAGCAAATTATCCCTCTGAAAATACCTTCCTTACTTTGTGAAATTCTTAGGTACATAAGGCGATATGTGTCGAATATAATACATTAAACAATAGACAATAGAGTTATGCCGCTCCGTCGAGCGCAACTCTGCAATCAGGCTTATTCGATTGTCTCTGCTCTCCTTAGACGTCTACAACGTTTTGCTGAGAATTATATAATTCTAAATTGTCCTTATAATTCTGTTATAAACTGCTATGTACAGGTTGATTATATTATGTATATCTATACTAATAGTAGAAAGCTAATGAGTCTGTTTGTTTAAACGCTTCGCTCGGGAAATACTGGTTCGAATTGAAACATTATTTTTGTACTGGATAGACTATCAAGAAAGGCTTCGGGCTACATCAACTCACGCCTCGACTAATAAAAGCAAAGGAACAGAGAAAGAAATGTAGAATCGAGGAAAATTATTCATTGGCGACAGCTGCCGTTGCGTGTGATTAAAAAGATCGAAAAACTGTGTACAAAGAATAATTAATCTTTAAAAGAATCTAAAAAAAGTCAGCGATAGTAGGTATACGACTACTTAGACTGTTAGAATATGTTTATAATGAAAATAAATTAAAAAAACTTTTAACGGTTTAACAATCCCCCGTGACCACGGCTGCTGCAAAACATCCAAAACGCCTGGTCATAGATAAAATGCATTGTAAATAAGTTATATTCCGCGTTTTAAACCGTTTAAAAATTTCATCTTTTCATTATTCCCGAGTCAATACAGCCACGCGCATATGTTATTCCAACAAAAACAAATTATTAACAGGAGATCAATAACCGATATTACCTTTTAAATAGTACACGAAAAGTCACGTTCCGTACACAGCGTTTTAAAACCTCCACTTGGGCACGAATTTCTGTTGATTTACCGACGCACGCCATCTTTAATGCACTTTTAATTTTACTAATATTTAAACTGTACGCTGTCTGACTGCATTTTGTTAGTCTTTGTTCGTATGCATTAAAATATAGTAGAATCTTTATTTTTCCTCATTACACGCATTATATTTAACATATAGGAAAACAAACGGGGTCTAAAATATTATTTCACTGCAATAAATAATTAACACTGTAATACCTACGTGTTGTACAAATATGTATTTAAATGATGAAATTTCATGAATTTAAAAGAAAGAAAATACTGGTTTTACTTAACCCGTAAAGGCATTTAAGAAGTGAAGATATCCAATTAAATTGAACGTAAAATAATAAATTACTCTTTGGTAATATCTAGTATAAGGTTCATCTTAGAATCCAGCAGTCCGATAAGAGCGATACTTGTCAGGTATATAATTGCTCTTAGAGCAACTAAGTGCGTATTTCATTTAGTGTTGAAGTTACCTCGTTGGAAGTTATAAAACGCCATATATACGCAGAAATCATAGATATAATCGTCTCTTTGAGTAGGCATGGTTTCGTCAATATGACCACAGACTATAATATAAAATAATACATTTAACTAAAAAAACGAACTCGCAGCGAGTAATTATTTTCATTGCGTGTGCTTGAAACTTTTGAAAAAAGGCATGATACAGGGATTCTGAAAGTGCCTTTTGTATAGTATCAATATAACTTACAGACAAGTTTTTGGCTTGGCTTCGAAGCCAGGGCAATGCAATGCTAGACAAAACAATCTTTGAGATACTAAGATAAATAAGGTATGATTTGAAACATAATATTTACGTAAATATTTTACGTTACAATAACATTATTTTATTATCTGTAAAAAAAACTAAAAATATTTTTCTAACAAACGCTATAGTAATTAATATATTAGTAAGCAAACGTCACAATGACATTTCTCAAAAATGACAGATGCGTCGTGGATTTAGGCGGGAATTTATCGGCTTGTGCAAACACGGCCAAATGTCGCGTTGTAGCAATCCTGTTAGGCTAATTGATAATTATCATTTTTATGGGTTTAGCGATGGTATTTGATAAATGCCTTCGGCAATTTAATTTCGGCTAATTGTACGTAAATATAGCAACACTATTTGGATATGGTATACTATTAACTATATTGAGTTATGGCGATCGAACGATTTAATGTATTGCATTATCTGGATTTAAAAAGTTAGAAAATGCTGATGTAGTAGGTACATCTGTGGACATTGAAAAAAAAAAAAATTACCCTTGTTATAAAGTTTTTTACAATTTCAAAATGCTTTTTTGTCGTCTTTGTGCGAAACCTTCCGAATCCAATTTTTGAAATTTACTTAGTAAAAAATCAGATAATCTCCAATTAAGTTGATATTAGTCACGAAATTATTTTTCTTTACTAGCTATAGATAACAAGATAGTATTTAACTAGTTTCTTAATTATGTTCTTAAGTTATTAAACCCTTATATGTTTAAAGTTAAATAACTTGGATCGAAAACATTTACGACACCGGCGATATTCAAACCAATGAGCACAGCTTACTTTTTTACAGCTAACGTGTTTATTTTTATAACTATACAAGATGAACTATGTTTTTTTCTTTCGAGATCTAGAGTATCAACAAAACTAGGATACTGGTTCTGTATAAAGAGACAAAATTAAAATAAAACAATTCAGGATTTTATCTCTCGACGGTAGTTTATGACTATGTATATCCTACCACCAATTTTGGGACATAGTGAAGGAAATATAAATTATTTTTTTAACACCTTGGTCCCAGATAGGATTTGAACATAAAATGAGTTGCTTCTTCGATATATATTGCTAATGATTAAATACTCAACATAGATACACCTATTTTCATTACATAAACGAAATTGTTACGAAACTAATATATTGAATTCGCTATCGCAGCCATTTCGGCTAAAATTGATGCTTGTAACGGTACATTGAATCAATGATAACAATTATCATAATATTTTGTAATTGGAAAAATTCTGATTTGTTATAAACGATAAAGCTTTAATTAACTTGTTGAAATTTCGGTAATTATTCGCGGTTTCCTTTCATTTAGATAAGAAAAAGATTATTAGGTAGGTATTTTGGTCAGTAGGAGCAATGGTTTTGGGGTATTTCGATATTGTCAAATAGTTTTAAAGACGGTTTTGCGTATGCAGTAGGCTCGTGTAGGTGCATGTAATAACATTTCTATCTTATTATTATTTAATTGCTGTCATCTATCTTACGACTTGTTAAGTTTTCACAAACGTGAAAATCTTTGATTCTTGAATTATTGCAAAATACAACACATGTGGATTCAGCATAGATATTGAAAAGTCCGTGTTGTAATGCAGTTTATTTTCAATGTCACATATTTTATGAAATCATTATAATTCATTATTTTTAGCTTTTTGCCTTAGCCATTTCGTTTGTAAGAGATTCGATTGTCTTTTACCTCGGGCTTTTTTATACCTATATCCTTCCCGGTAATTACTTCTTAGGAACAATTAGCTAAACCTACAAAAATATGTATTTCCAGCAGGCATAACCACCAAAACAGGGACTAGCTTAGCCCTCAACCTTGAAAAGAGATAAGCACAAAAAAGGAAAGGATTAACGTTATTAATTCAAACGTTAATCAATTTTTCTTGGTCCGATGTAAAAAAATAGGAAAGGGATGAGGGCACTATTCTTTTTTACTTAGCAGCACTGTAAAGAATAATTGAGGCTGCTGGAAGCTGAGAGGCCCAATGACAAAAGACATGATTTTCAATAAAGAGGAAAATAAAAATGCACAATTAGCTTAGGCGAATATATATCTCTACTATTATTTTTGTAAGAATTGTGTTAACCGTTTTCGGTCACTGTGCTATTGTAGATTAACATTCTTAGACTTTGAGAATATAAATAACTGAAGGCATAAAATTGCAGATAGGCTACTCTGCCTGTATCGCCTCGATTAACAGCGCAGGTAATAAGAACTCATTGAATTGTTTTAGGTGCACCGCACGCTTTACTAGGCAAGACCCGACGGCCGCGGACCGCGTTCACTTCACAACAACTCCTAGAACTCGAGAAGCAATTCCGAATGAACAAATATCTTTCACGACCGAAGAGATTCGAAGTGGCAACCAGCTTGATGCTGACGGAAACACAGGTAAACTTCATGTAATTATTTAAATAAGACACTTTAACGATTTGAAACGCGATATATATCAGTTAAACTTATTGGAAAATAATTTTAACTAACTTTGCAGCAGCCGCGGTCACGGGGAGACCATTGATGTAATTATTCAAACAATTCGTTACCTATGCAAAAAACTTTTTACTTATTCATTTAAAAAAATATTTAATGAAAGTCAAATTAGTAATATTGACTTAATTAAATAAAACACTATAACAACACGGCTGCTGGAAAGCATTGGGAAGTCGGGCCGTAGCTAAAATTATTCTATGAATCAGTTTAACAGATATATTTCGCTTTTTGAACCGTTAAAGTGTTTTATTTAAATTTGCACTACTCTACAATACTTAGGAAGGTTTAAAAGTAAATATCACTCACAAATGTAGGTAGGTATAAGATAAAACTAACACCATTTCCCAAAAGAGGAAAGAGATTTCCCGCTTAAACAACGTCATTTTGACATTCACGGAATGGCGGCAAGCTGTCAAGTTGAACGATACCCGGATTTGGAACAAATGCTTACAAGATTATAGGGGAGGGAAATGTTGCCATAAAGGTTATTGTTCCGAGCGTTTTATGTGGGTTTAAAGATTAATCTCGGTTTTGATAGATGGTATCAGGATTACACATTTTGGCGAATATAACTTTTTACGTGCCGCGTAGATTTTAACTATTATCGCTTAATTATAAGAATTTCACAATTATTCTCCGGAAATGTATTTTTACTAAAGCTTATGTTGTATGTCAAAATAGTTATGTATATACAGAGTCATTAAGAGATCTTTTATATTAAAATTATTCATCCTTGTGGGTTTCCATTGCGTACGCCTCGGTTCAAGATACTCAAAAAAATATGCTTGAAATAATGATTCCTCTTTAAATGTCCTAAAAAGGTCCGCGACAATATATGTCTATCTTTTAAGATTACCTTGCATGAACGACGGGACGGGAGTTTGCAAAAACAAATTTGATGCCCAAAATAACTATCGTAAGCGGACAAAGTCGCTGACACTGCTAGTATTGTATATTAAAGCTGTTCTATGTAGTACGTATATTCCTATTAAACCATTTACATTTGTTCTCAGGTAAAAATATGGTTCCAAAACCGCAGGATGAAGTGGAAACGCTCGAAAAAGGCACAACAAGACAGCAAAAGCAAGGACTCCCATCCGAGTGAGGAGAAAAACAAAAAAGAGGTTCTACCCGACCATGACAAACAACCTCCACAAATGGCGGGCGATTTGACACCAGCTGTCAAACCACCTCCCCTGCTAGACAGAGAGAGGATGATCGCATTGGAGCGGGAGAGGGCGATGGCGGCGGCAAACTTTAATTCGAATTTGGAAAACAATAGACGCGGGCTAGTTATGAGCCAAGATGGCCGACCGGGTATAGATATGTTTAGGCCTTATGTAGTATGAAATTAAATATTCTTTATATAATGAATTGTTAATTGTATGATAAGGATTATTGTATATAAGGTCGTGAGTTGTGCAATGTTCATTTTGCTTACAAATATTACATAGACTTTATTTTATGTAATACGCTGGTTAAAACAATCCAAACAAAAGCCTACTTTTTATCCTTTTCCAAGATTATTCAAAGTTAATATCAAATAAGCTGGAATACGTTTAACGTCATTTTTAAGTTGTTTTATACAATTTTCAAGGTTTCAAATTTATTCCCGTTACTTGCTTTCAACAGGCATTGCTTATTAGTAGCCACTAAACAGTTTTCCTAGAATAATCGAAGTTGCTAACGTAAATCAATTTAACAATTTATACTTTGCTTAATGGTTCCTATATTTATATGTACAGAAACACATCAATATAATGAAACCTAACGTTAATAGTTTAATTAATAACAAATATATCCTTATGTACAAAATAATTAATATAAATAAAATACAAATGTATCCTTTACGAATATTTTGCTTTGATAATTTTTAAAGAGAAATATGTTATAATTATTTTAAGTAGGAAGTTATAAGAACTGATACAGGCCAAAAATATATTAGATTTAAATAAGTATAATAAGTTATTTTAAGAAAATATTACGTATATATAAGTACATACGTACTTACTAAGCAGTGAGTCATTAATTATTTAAATAGATTTTAATACAAGCCAGCACGTAGATACGTTATATTTAAATTCTGTAATATACTTACAACCTTTTTAGTCCGCAACCTTTGTTTTAATTTAGCTCATCCTAAGCATATAAAAAAATATTCGCTAACTGCACAAAACTTTTTCATGAAAACTTAAATTTGAGATGTTTGCAAAAATACAAAATTAACATGATATATTTGTATATGTTAGTAATAAATATTAATAATTGTCTATGAAAAAAAAAATGCGTTTTGTAAATTGTGAATAGGATATTTGTGATCACCAACCTATCTTTATTAAGTTGGCTGTGTACTTATGTATCCTTAAATGGGCATCTTATAGCAGTATTATTTTGTAATATACTAGAGTTTAACGAAATCGTGTACAAGATCTTGATAAGTATAAATTGTAATAAGTATTTAGCTAAAATAAAATATTACATTGTATGTGGTTCTATTATTTTGTAGTTTGTTTACGGGTTACCAGCACCTAATTATGATTTCGTAATATTACAGTGTAGGTATTGCATCAGTTTATTTCTTGTATATTCTTTATATTGATTCTATAAAGAACTATTTAAAAACAGGAATGCCCTTGACCGACCTTCCCTCTACGATTGCCATAATCCTTACCAATATTATAGATGCGAAAGTAACTCTGTCTGTCTGTCTGTCTGTTACTCTTTCACGCCAAAACTACTGAACGTATTTGAATGAAATTTGGTACACATATGGTCTAGACCCTGATAAAGGACATAGGCATTTTTATTGAGAAAAGTGGGTTGTAAGGGGTTAAAAGGGGGGGTGAAAGTTTGTATTTTAATTCGAGGTTTTTGAAGCTAGAACAATGAAACTTTCTTCTTTGTATTTTTGGGAATAGGGAGGGAAAGGGAGTGGGAGTGGGAGTGGGAGTTAGAGTAGGAGTGGTAAGAGTGTTGTGGCAAAGTAGCACATAGCACAACATAGATTGGCTGCGGTAAATGCGCAATTACATAAATTAATAAACAGCCTAAATATATATAATATATATAATAATTAAAAATGCTCCCCCAAGTCACTATTCCACGCGAACGAAGTTGCGGGCACAGCTAGATGTAAATATGTTTTCTGAAAGCTTCAGTTCAATTCTTGGTTACATAATTCCTGGTCGTGATTATATTTATATGAAGAAGAGTAGGGTTCAAATTCTGGTTCATACGATATTTCTGACTGTTTACAAAAAAGGCTAGAACTATATTTTTATAACTTAAAACATTACAAATAGCAAACAATATAATATATACCTAATGCAAACAATATCTCATATTGTCTGTAGTGTACGCGAATAGGGCCTATAAATTGAAATAAATCATTTTTAACGAATTAAAAAGACATAGGTACCTACGTTAATTCGTCTTTAACAATGGTTCGTCCTTTCGCCCTGTGACTTTTAACGACTTTATTTCAAACCTATAATTAAAGAAAACTGTTTAATAAGCACAACATAATTGTGCACTAAGTTTAATTTATAAAACAATCCAGACAATCCTAAAAAAACCACGCCAATATCTTAAAATACCTATAACAAAAAATAGGTACCTATATCAATTTAACTTACCAACTGATGCACACTACTTAAGCAGATATAGCACGATGGTTTTTCTTAGATGAGTGCAAAAAGCGGTGATAAATGTCTGAAATGAGTCAAATATTGTTTCTTAGAAAGTAGTTCTAAAGACAGTAGTTTCGTTTACGCGAGTAGTACACAATAAAAAAATCTTTAACGATTTAAAACGCGATATATATTAGTACCCCAGTAACTACGGCTGTTGCGAAAAAAAATATCGGAAATGTCGGTAAATTTAACTAATATATTTCGCGTTCTAAACCGTTAAAGTGTTCCATTTAAGTAGTAAGTTTGTGAACATAACTGTAGGGGGGGAGACCTAGTAGATAATGTCTAAAAGTAAAGGCATTATGTCTGATATTAGTGCGAGCAGTTTTGGAGTGTTGGCGGCGGTTCAGTTACACTGAATTAAGGAAGGGGACGTGCTTCTAAATTGTGAGAGTGACCATCATTTATAGATATTCAAAATTTGGATTTTTATTTGAATGTATTTAATATCCCATACCATAAATGGGAAATATATGTTTCTATGTCCGTTAAATAATTAATTTTATTTAGAGGCAGTTTATTTAGTTAATAACGTTTGATCAGACTTCTATACCCCGTATAAAACAATGTATTGTTCTCCTAGCATTTGAGGCTTGAGCCTACTACGTCTCGTATTTAACTGCAAAGGCAACACGGTTAAGCACTAATAACTATTTAACTCTTAGGCCTTTCTAGTCAGCATTTTTTCATTGATGACCCTGTCAAACTTCGACCTAATAATAGAAACCTAGCATGTAGATTCTGTTAGATCTATAATCCATCTTATGTAATTATCCTACTGTAGTTGGTATACTTTTTTAGTATCAAAAATAAATAACGAATAAATTATGATGACACATTCCTGTGTTTTTCTTTATTGCATATTATACGAAGTGACTGATTTCATAACATTTTATAATAATATTAATTTGCGTTACCTAGTTTAGCAATGTGTAGTAGTCCCTGGGTTTGAATACAGGTAAAACATTTTTGTAAAATGCATCCGAAATGTGGGGTCATAGTTAAATTAAATTTTTAAAAAGTATACATCGTGTTTGAAACCGTTAAAGTGTTATATTTCAATGTGCACCACTTGCGTAAACTTCCTTCGTATTTAACTACTTGTCTGTAAAAAAAAAATCTATCAGTGATATAGACATATTTATTGTGTTTGCCCCCTCACGGGGAATGGGGGCTTTACATAAACAACCACAAAAATTCCAAATTATGCTCACCCTACAACAAAGCGGTATAAATTACGTAGGAAAAACTGAGCCTTTTAGTATTCGCGGCGCGTACACGAGGGAGACGGTGATATTTACTGTCTTCGTCTATATCTTGTTATGTTCTTCACTTATAGTCCAGTTAGAATATTAGTATATCGTCACATGACGTTTGATTAACTAGTCAAATTGCTAGCAAACACAACATTGTAAAGATGTAATCGATGTTTTTTTATCTCTGTGTGATCTGTGGCAACAACTTCACTCTACAAAGGGTCCTAGCTAGTTCTCTATGGTTTGAAATAGACTTTATTTGTTGTGGTCTTTTGCAAAGTAAAAAAAAATACACTATGTATATAGTGTATATTAAAAAATACACTATATACCAAACGCGATAACAACTTTTCAATACCTTCGTTTTGACTTCCGATTTAAAGGAAAGCGAGATCTTGATAGATAAATTTCGTGTTTGAAGAATTTCAGTTTACATGCTGTATATCACGACGTTTTACGATTAATTCTATTATCATGTAAGCAACGAAGCATTGAGGGCATCCCTGTCAGGGCAGTCTTGGTATTCGAATTAATTTAATTAATCAATTAATGGTACATTTCTTGATTAATGTACGCTTATCTCTAAAGAAGTTACTGGGCTTATAAAGTTCGTTTCATTCAATAATGAAGTGCTATAACTTGTGCAGGACTCTGACATCAAGAAAAAGAAGAGATAACTGGCATTTCTAAATAAATATACACATAATAGAATTCCTTTATTTTGGCATATAACAATAAAATATATAACTTCATTCGTTTCCAAATTTAGTAATAAGTTGTCGAAATTTTTGTCAAATGTGGCCTGTTAAATTAGCCTCAGACTGGCCTATAGATGGAGCAAAATGGGCGTGGAGCCCCGTGATTGATGCCCTTTGTTTAAACAACTTACGACGCTTCGTTACCGACTCTGGCTAGTCCCACCCGCCATATCGAACTTCGCTATGATATATTATAAGCAATTAATATATGTTTTGAAGTATATACGGAGTTTTAAAATTTTAAAATGTAATCTTGCCGGTTCTGACAATATCCTACTTAGACTTGTGACTTTGTAATGTATGTTCGATCTCCACCGGGTCCAACATCAATTTATAATTTTTCTGACACCTCATCTGTAATCTAAATTAAATTATTAGATAGGTGGTAGAAATATCAAAATTCCGTCTGGGAAACCAGCGCCCACAGATAACCACAGAAGCCGTGCAGTTTAATTGCATTTCGGTTTCAGTCTATAGAATGCCAAAAGCCTAAATAGGTCGATAGCGCATCTTATTTAGATGCTAGAGGCTGAGGTATTTCATCTACCAAGTGAAGCCTGCTGTCTGCCCTTCTCTATTATTAAAAAAAAAACATTTTCGTAGTTATTTACAATTAGGTAGGCACAATTCCCATGTAGAGCTG